GTTTTACTTGTTGTTGTTTTAGTTGTTTGTTTGTTTGTTTGTTTGTTTGTTTGTTTGCTTGTTGGTTTTGTTTGGGGGGAGGAGATGGAATGGGTTGGGTTTTGTTGTTGTAGTTGTTTCTCTTTTTTATACTTGTTTTGTCGGGGGTGGAGGGGTAGTTTGTTTTATTTAGTTTGGGAAGTTTGTTTTGTTTGTGTTGTTTTTGGTTTTGTTTTTTGTTTGTTTGTGCTTGTTAGGGGTTTGGGGGGGTTGGGGGTGTCTTTTCTTTGCTGGAGAGGCAGGATAGCATCTGATAAAGCGTTTCTTTATTTCCCCACCATTTATTTTGCAACTGCTGTTACATGTAATATTATACTTTCATTGCAACCTCTGCTTTTCAGGAAAAGGCGTACCAGGAAGTGAAAAGAGTTGTGAAAGGGAAAACTCCGACCCAGGAAGAATTGAAGCAACTGGACTACCTGGATCAGGTGATTAACGAGACCCTCCGTCTCTTCCCACCCGCTCCTCTCGTCGACAGAAAAGCTCGAGAAACTCGCACCTACAACGGCGTAACTATCCCGGCAGGATCAAAAGTTATGTTCCCTTTTTGGCACTTAATGAGGGACCCGCGATATTGGGAAACCCCGAATACTTTCAACCCGGAGCATTTCAGCAAAGAGGCGAGAGAAAAGCGAGATCCTCTGGCTTTCACGCCATTCGGGCAGGGTCCGAGATTATGTCTGGGCATGCGCCTTGCTCTTCTTGAGCTAAAAATGGCGCTTGCACATCTGCTGCCCCGTGTGAAGGTCGTTTTGAACGATCGCACTGAGCCACGCCAAGGGAAAGAGGTGAAGATGACACCTCTTGGAGCCCCGACACCAGAAAAGCCGGTCCAGTTGGCGATTGAGTTGAGATCTGACGACGCGTGATGCATATCTGCTGGATACGAGTATTTTTGTTCTTGTTGTAGTACAGTCAAATTTGAAGGCAAACGGAGTCAAGGGTAGACTCAGAGCAACCGAGTTGGAGAACCTAAACAGATGGATGACGTGGAAAGATCAGGATAATATGGCTTTTTTTTTTAGAGTAGGCCTACATGATATGTATCTGAACAAAGGAATTAATGTAGAACCATGACCATCGATGTCTATCACAGATCTGGCTCTTGATGATAATGACAATCATATTTATGATCTTCTTGTTGAACAGTTAGTTAGGAAGTTACAAGAACCAAGAAGGAAAAAACCCTTAAAATGGACGTTTGAAATGGACAGTTTGACCAAAGAAAGGGAAGCCAAAAGATCGTGTCCTTTTGCTATGACTGATTTATTTTTTTAAAATAGTCATTCAACATGCCACTTGATGATGATGATGATGATGATGATGATGATGATGATGATGATGATGATGATGATGATGATGATGATGATGATGATGGTGATGATGG